GCTTTCGTGGAATATAACCACCATCTCCTCGTAAAATAATTGTTGCATGGTCCGAGAACAAGATCGGCTGGTGAAAGATAACCGCATCAGGATGAGAGTCCAACCACAAACCAGTAGCAAAACCCTTATCAATTCTTTCATAGGTAGGATTCTGTAATTGTCCATTTGTCCAAGTGATCAAAGGTCCAGAGAATGGGATATCCAAAAGCTGAGAATTAATTTTCCAGTCCTGAAATAAATGTCGGCCAGGAATATCCAATGATTCCCCTATTTTATCACTTAAATATTCAACCTGATTAAAATCCCCTAAAAGAACAGCTGTTGGGGTTGATTGTAAAATAGTAGAAATTTCATCCCAAACCAAATATCTATCCGTAGGATGAGGCGAGCCATACACAAATATAATATATTTTATTTCTTTACCAGGAACCTCCACTTTACAAAATATAACATGAGGAGAGATAGAAATAGGAACAACTACCACTGGGGCAAACCAAAAAACAACCAACCCCCCCACTAAGGCCTAAAGCATCCGAACCACAAAAACCATCAAACCCTACTACCGCTAATTCTTTAGCAGCCATGTCTACAGAAACAAACGTCTACATTAAGAACATTATATCTACAGCAAAAGAGCGGACTACTGAAACCACATAAGGAACTTTAGGGGAGTCCGCCGTATCAAGCCCCCTCCAGTTCCAAGCTGCTATATTCACTGATGCCTTGGTGACTCTTTATGGGGAGCCACCATACCCTCAGCACCATCAGGATAAGATCACCAGAAGAACCAGTACTACACCTACGCTTCTTGAAAGGCTTCAAAAAAGACAGACACACCGAACCTGCATTCGAGATTTGAAGCCGCTGACCTGGGTCATTTGTTGAAGCTGATCTCCGTTTACAAGGACACGCATCCTTCACCCAGTTACACATTTGATCCCCTTTCCTAGTCAATTTAGAAGTTAGAGGTTTTTACCCTTACTCTTGTCAGACAACCTCCTATCAGAAGGAGTGGCAGAAGACGATGCTGGAGAAGATGCCGGCGAGGAGCACAGCGATATGGGTGGGGAACAATCCATGGGAACCACTCTATTAGAACTCGCAATATGATCCCCAAAAACATTTTCAATATCAGCCTCAGGAGAATGGTGGGAAACATTGGAGAAAGTAAATCCCTCTGCTGATGAATCATCCTGATAGCCCGAATCAGAAGAGGTATGAGTCGGAAAAGACACGGCTAAAGACGGAGATGGAGAAGGGGTCGAAACCGGCATCATACCCGGCGGTATCGGCGAAGGATCCGCCCAATTACTAGGTCCAGCTCCAAAGGGGTCGGGGAACAGAGGACCTGACAGCCCTAAAGGCGGACGAGAAAACCGCCGTAACGGAATCGCCATACTAGGCGTCATAACCGAGCTTTTATAGATAGCATATGGATCCGAGTTTAGCAGAGGAAACATGCTCGTCTCATTTAAATGAGGAAGAGCACAGCCAGATTGAACATAAAAAACTTGGGCCTTTAAACGGAAGTCAATATGAGACCCAGTCCCAGTTGCTGTGGCAGTAGCCAAATAAGGCTGAGGAGCTTGATGGGCTTGAGTCAAGTTTAAGTCCATTAAAGGTGGGCCAGACTGATTAAATCCCACATGTGGAATATTAAATTGTGATGGGGGCCAAGAATTCCCTTGAGGAGAGTATTCCTGATAGTTCGAGTCCGAGCTGGAGTAAGAAAAGGATAACTCAAAGAAGGTAACACCATTGCCATGTGTCATGTCCCCAGCTGTTTCCATCTGATGAGGATGAAATATTTGATGAGGTAAGGGCAAGGTTGCACGTGCTGTCAAATTACACCTAGAGGAGCAAATATGTTGTGCATGATTAACAGGTGGCGGATCATGCTGCCACCCCCCTTGATAGTCTGCCGCTTGGGAAAAAGTAAGAGGCAACTACGCACGTGTCATTCTAGCAGGTTCCTCACGCGCCGCCGGAGCTTCAAACTCCGTTCTGATTGCGCGGTTGATCCCCAAATTCCTCCTCCAAACCTCATCTTGCTCATTCCTGTAAGTACCTGGAATTACCCGAGGAAAAAGATCCGGCAAGGACCGAGTAGGCATAGGTCTTGAAGATGGAGACTCCAAATTTCCAGGACCAAACAAATCTCCATCCGATGGATGGGAATCCCCCGAGTAATCTGAAGTATTCTCATCATCATGCTCCCCAAAAACAAGCTCCGTAGACCAAATCTCCGGGTTTGGATGAACACCACGAATAGTATTTGAGTATAAAGGAACATCCGTAGGGCCAAATAAAACACGTGCGCCGCTTTCGTGGAGTTTACGAAAACGACGCTCCAAGTGGAAGGTCACTTCATCTTGTTCCTTAGCACACGTATCCTGACCGTGTCCGACAAACCCGCACTTTTTGCAAAATCTATAGATACCCTCGTACTTAAAGCGAACCCATGTAGCTCGATTGTCATAGGTAGGAAAGTAACAACCTGCTATTAAAGGCAAAGAAAGATTCACTAACAATTTAATTCTAGGGCGAGGAATAGGAAAGTTACCTCATAGTTCTTCCTCCATATCAATATCACCAACATGAGCTAATACCGAGGCTGCTACTCTCGGGGTAGAGTAGCGAATAGGAAGTCCGACAACAGACACCCACATATCAGCTAGGTTGAGTTTAAGATTCTCCGGAACTGAGTGCCCCCGTAGACGCTGAATTACCATGATACTTCCCTTAAGATGAACCCATCCTTGATTATCTAAGTCAACAACGTCCTCCTCATTTCCACAGAAGAAAATAAAGTCCCTATCGTACTGGTACACCACCACGGGAAGCCGGATATGTCAGTACCTGGAAACTAAACGTTGCACTAACTCGACAGAAAATTCACGAGCGTCCCAAAAACGCCCAATAATACAGTAGTCCCAATTAATATCACTAGTTTCAAACACCGGAGGAGGAAACGGAAACCCCCCAATCCGATGAGGATAGACAAAGGTGTTGGGATAGATACGGTCACTCATGATGAAATTTGGAAAGAAAGGTCAAGAACTAAAGAAAAGAAATGACTGACAAAGAAAAGCAAAGGAAACTAAAACTTATCAACTTAAGAAACAGAGAGAATTTCCTCTCACTAAAAACTTTCTCTCACTAGAGAGTTTTTTGTATTGATTATATTCCACTTTAAACCTACTTTTATTGATTTTGTGATTTAGGGAGTTTCTAGCGATCAACCAATAATACTCTATTAGACCATAATCCATATAACATAAAAAAGTTTGACATTACTCCGTAATCACTGCATTTTTTCAGCATTACATGCACATATTCCACAATCCACACTACTGATAAGTGTATGTCACCATCACAATTTCACTACTTGGTATTTTATATATACCAAAATATCATCACATTTCATTTATGCCAGCTATTTATTGATGTTTATAGTTTATGTAAGAAAATAAACATGATTCTTTTTTTTTTTTTATTATTATTTTTTTTATTTGGTTTAATTACATTTATATACTAGCTTAACCCCATGCGATGCACGGTTTTAAAATAAGAATTGAACTATAGACATTTAACACATAGCGAAAGAAAATAACTACTTCTTCAGTTTTCTTAACTAATTTCTAATTAAATATGAAAACACAAATTTCAAAAGTGCAAATTTTTATATTTGATTAGGAAATTTCAATAAAATTATATTATTAACTATTGTTAACAACTCGTAAATAAATATCATAACATGTGTAGAAAACCCAAAATTTAAAATTTAAAATTTAAAAATTCAAATGAAATATAATTTTTAAAGCGATGTTAAATAGAGTAGTTAAAAAAGGAAAAAAAAATGACATCATCCTTGCATTTTGGAGGAAAAAAAATTAAATAAAAAAGTGAGACGTAGACAGTGATGATATCAGCGGTTGTTATTTTAGTATACTAGGGTGGAAACCGTACAATGCACGGTTTATATAAAACCTATTTTTAATTTGTACATTTTAAAAATAAATCGCTATTATACATGAATATAAATAAGAATTACGTATATTTTGTAATTTAATTTTTTTTTTATTTTCATCAAAATTATGATATAGTATCCGTTTAACGTTGTCTAATTCATTATTCAATATAGGAGGTCATTTAGTAGTGTGCTATTAAAAATTGTTTCAATTATCTACGATAAATTGATATGCTTTAGTTGTAATGTAGAGATTCTAATATTTAAATTTCAAAATGTTAAACATGATAGCTCTACAAGAAAAAAAAATTAAAAATTAAAAAAATGACATCGTCATTGCATTTAGGCGGGAATTTATTTTATTGAAAAAGCGACACGTGGGCAATAATGACATCAACAACTTCTATTTTAGTAATAGTTAGTAGACATACTAGTTTTTGGCCCTGTGCTATGCACAAATTTATAAATTAAGATTTCTTAATAATTATAGTTGATTTACATTAAATAGAGTTAATTGAAATAAAATGACTTATGTAATTATTTTATTTTTTTTTCAATTTGAATTTATTAATGTCTATCTTTAAAATTCTTAAATTAATATGTGTTGCACAAATAAAATTTATTAAAAGAATTTAAATTTTTTAAGGAAAATAAATGAATTGCATTTTGGAGGGAAATTTTTTCACAAAATTATGCCAAGTGTCCCATTTGATGATTATTTTAGTATATAGTATAGATAGATATAGATATATAGATACACGAATTTTCTATAAATGTGTTAATTTCGAAGAGCTATAGCATGGAAAGTTGGAAACAATACGTCAAATGGTTCAATATGAATGCTTGTTTTTATTTATTTATTTATTTTTTAAAATCCCAATATGAATGCTTCTACTATTTTTTTTTTAACTTTTTTTATTATTATTTTTTTTCAAAACTTTTAATCTTTGAAATTCTCTTTATTTTTCTTGTTTCTTTCATAATTTGCAATATCTCTCTTGTCTCACTTGGTTTATATGTTGTTTCTTAGGCCGGTGAAAAGGAGAAGGATCGTCTAGAGAAAATGATTGAAATGGCAATATCTTCTTTACAAATGTAAATATGCATGGCATCTATTCCACCTTCTCGCTCTCTCTCAGCCTTTTAATTGGAATTTTGCGCACAATGATTAGCTAGGTTTGTAAATTGTAATGGAACAAACTTTTTGGATTTTTAATTAAAGGGTGGACTTAATTCTAAGTTGGTGATATTTTAAATTTTAATTGTCTCTTTTTCAAAGGCAAGTCACTAGTGAATCATATATAGTTCATTTATTTGTATTTGGTTGACATTAGAAGTGTCAATTCAAGTATTTAAGTCGGATTTCATAAGGTCGAATCAGGTTTAATTTATATCACATTTAGGGGTTGTTCTGATTTACTGAAAATAATTGAATTAAACTGAATTGAATTGATTGGAACTGAACTGATTGGGGTTGAATTGAATTAAGTTAGCAAAAGAAAATAATTGAATTGAACTGAACTAAACTGAAGCTAAGCTGAATGAAACAGATTCTTAACCACGTTAAGTTATTGTATACATACAAGTCGATATTGTAATACCTCGTATTTCTACGTATATTTAATTTAAATAGTATTTCTTAAATTATTTAAATAAGTTGAAATCAAATTATTATGAGGTTTTATTAATTTAAAGAGTTTTATTAAAGATCCAATTTATTTATTTAATAATTTTGTAAATACTTTATTTTATAATTTAAAGATATTGGGGCATATGATTTTATGAAAGGTAATTTTTAAAATCAATGACATTTAAAGGAAAGTCAAAATAGTAGTTGGAATATTAGCAAAATCAAACTTTGTCCAAGGTGGAAAATACCTCAAGGTATCTCTCTCTTCCTCTTATTTTCTCTCTCTCCCTCTCTCTCTCTCTCTCTCTCTCTCTCTCTCTCTCTCTCTCTCTCTTTCTCTCTCTTATTTTTCTCTTTCCCCTTTATTTTTATTTTTTATTTTATTTAACCACCACAACCGCCCACCACCACGACAGCCCGCCGATCAACGGCCACCACCACCAGCAAACGCCGACAGCTGCAACCATCAGGCGGCGTGGGAGAAGCCAACCATGGTGGTTGGTGCGCGCACCGGTGGTGTTCATTCGAAAAAAAAATATTCTTTATATTTTATTACTTAATATAATTATTAATTTTAGGTTTTGTGATGATTTTATGATGTTTGATTATAAGTATGATGTATATAAATTTTCAGATTTTATTTTGAATTAGAAAGCCCCAAATTGAAAACCCTAGGTTTCTAAATTATTATATATTGATGGAAATTGATTATGGGTGATTTAAATTATTGAAATAGGTGTTTTAGAACACATTTATAGCAAGTTTTGATAATTTAACAAAGATGGAATTTTTGTATTTATATAAGCCATAATTGAGTTTCTTGAAAGGATTTTTTACTACCCATTTAATTGGGTATTTATGTAAGGATTTTAAATTAAAATTTAGCTTGTTTTAAAGGAGTTATGAGTGATTTAAAGAGTATATACATTGCTGGAAATTTGTATGGAATAAGTATTAATGCCTCTTCGTAATTTTGGATTGTAGGAGATTTCTAAGTGAGTGATTTCTTGTAGTTGTGGCGATTTTGAGATCGTATTCAAGGGACGTTCGCGTACTTGTTATTTATTTGATGATGTAGGAACATGCTAGGCTTTGAATAATTAATTCAAAGTAGTATTGTAATACTCTGTATTTTTATACGTATTTTGTTTAAAATAAGTATTTAAGGAAGTATTTAAATAAATTGAAATGTTTTATTTATAGTATTTTATTTATTTATTTTAATAAATTTAGAATTATTTCATAAAAGGAAAGTTTATTTAATTAATTAATTATTTTATTTAAATTGGAAATTAATTTAAGAAAGTTTTATTTTAGTAAAGTTTTATTAGGAAAGGGATTAGGAAAGTGTAAAAGGGAAATTTTAGGAAGAAGGGTTTCTAGAGAAAGGGTATAAATATTCAACACTTGAGGCAAATCAAACTTTGCCTAGAGTGGAGAAAACCCAAGGTAAACTTTTTCTCCCTTCTCCTTTTTTTTCTTTTCTTTTTCTTGCCTTTTCCCCTTCCCTTTTTTCGGCCTTCACCATCACCGGCCACCACCAGCAGCGCCGGTAGCAGCAGCGGCGCCACCAGCAGCACGGCGGCATCCGGCTGTGGTGCCGTGGCTGCTGGCCGGATATACAAACAAAAAAAAATTAATCTATTGTTTTTTAAAAATTTATTTAATCCTAGATCTAATTATTAATATGAGTTTTGTGAATAAATTATTATGTTTGTTTATAAGTAGCATGTAATTTAATTTTCAGATTTTAATTCTAATTAAGAAGCCCCACTTTTGAAACCCTAGATTCATAAATTGTTAATTATTGAAGTATTATAATATAGGATGGGTCAAACCTTTGATTTAAGTGTTTTAAGGCCTAATTACAATAGGTTTTCATTAAAATATAATGTTGGAATTTTTGATTGTGCATTAAAAATCAAGTTTCTTTAAGGAATTTTAATTACCCATTAATTGGGATTAAAGTATGTATAATGTTTTAAATATAATTTCAGCTTATTTTAATTAAATTATAAGGGGTTTAATAATAGTATATATTGCTGAAAATTTGTGTAGAGAAGATTTTAATACTCTTCTTGATTTTAAATTGTAGGAGACTTCGAAATGAGTGAATCTTATTAGTCGTGGCTATTTTAAGATCGTATACAAGGTATGTTCGCGTACTTAGCATAATTTTATTGATGTAGTAGCATGCTAAATGTGTTTAATTGATTACAAGTAGTATTATGCTAGATTTGGAATGGAAATTAAATTATGATTTGGTTGTTATTGATGATTGAATTATGAAGCATGAATTATTTGTGATGAATTAATGGTTGGAAAAAAATAGTTTGGAATATTGTATATGAACCACACTTTTATTTATGGTATGATAGAAAACATGTTTAATTAAACTAAATGTTTAATTTAATTTGGCTTGGAATATTAAAAGAGAATTTTATTATATTTCATAGAATTTTTATTGGTGCTTTAAGCATGAGAAAGGAGTTATGTATGTGTTTATGTACACGGGGAATAAAATGTATGTTGGTGCCTTAGTGCACTTAAGGTGTTTTTAACACCGAGGGATATGATTTTTGGCGCATTAAGCGTTTAAGGTGTCATTGACACCGAGGTAGATTTAAAAAGGATTCAACATTAAATGTTATGTGGTCACTAATTATTCAAGATTTAAATTTAAGTGTTTAGTTGTTTGAGTAATCATGATGTTTGATGTTGTTATGTTTTGTGAGTCATCACCAAGTTAATAAATTGTAAAAAACGTAAAGTGAAAGAGATTACGCACCAAAACTCTTGGAACGTATATACCTTAAGTATAAACATATGACGGGGAGTTATGGGGTTTTATATTCAACCATAACTTCTATTGGATTACAGTTTTTTTATTATTATTATGCGCAGGAATTCCGTCGCTTACGAGTGGTTATTTGATGCTGGCACGGTTAGCTCCCGTGTCAGTAACTTCATTATTGGGGGAGGTTAGTGGGAAACTCGTTCGATGCGTAATCAACGCTAAACAAATTATGTAGTTGTCTAGTGAGTGAGCGTTCTTCGAAAGCCTTTCAATAACCACCTTGCAGTCTGACTCAAGAATAACCTCGTTGAAGATGTATCTTCTGCCAAGTTTGAGAGCAAATTACAGCGCTTTGGCCCCTGCAACTTCAGGCGTCTAGTGGGCACGATACCTTCTTGTAGCAGCAACAAGAACCTTTCCCTCGTGGTCTCTAGAAACAGCCCTGAGTCCCACCCACCCCTCATCCAAAAGACAAGCATCGGCATTCAACTTAACCATATTAACAGGGGGGCTGACCAGTAATCAGGGCTTGGCGAGGCAGTCAGACCCACATAACCATAGATAGGTTTAGTATAGTTCTCTTGTTCCTCAACAAACCTAGCAACTCGAGCAGCAATGATCGTGTTTGGGGTAGTTCTGTTCTGGAATATTTTGCCACTCCTCTCCCCCCAGATGCACCACGCAAGATACATCCCACGTTGCACAACCTTGGGGTCTAACTTTTTCCAGCTCACAACAAGATCACAGATGGACTCAAACTCATCCCAATTTGTCATTTCAGCACATGAGCAATCTTCCCAAAGTTCCTGAACACGAACACACCCCACAAAAGCGTGATTGAATGTCTCAACCTCAGAATTACACCAGGGGCATCAATTGTCATTGATGAGATGGTGTAGACACCCATTTGTGTCTCCCCAAAACCAAACCTAGTGATGAATACCTTTCATGTCATTTGATTATCGAACGAGATGAAAGTGTGAAAAGTCTAGTGATGAGGATGTTTTTATTAAAATATCTCTTCTTTCTGTTTTTGAAAATATTTCCTTTCTTACCCTATTTTTGAAAAACGTGCATTCCAGTTTAGTTTGGTCCATGATATGGGTCCAATAATGGTGTAGTTGGATGGAGCTTGAAAAGACCTTTCCAACGATATATTATAAGCCCAATCCCGATGAATAATGAGGAAGTTATGGCCAAAATACTAAACTGGGCTAAAACCGATTTTTACTTACGGCCCAATGATCATGTGAAGGGTCCAAAGGTTCAATCCTATTCCTAAACTAATTAGGATTAATTAGAAGCTTCTATAAGTTTATGAAAGATCTTAATTATCATTTTTGAAAAGATAAGATTAAAGAATTTGAGTTAAATAAAAACTTTCCTTTTATAAAAAATTTCCTTTTTTTTAAATCCTAATTCTATTCGATTTTAAAGATGTTCAAAGAAAGTCAGATTTTATTTTCCTTCCTTACAATCTTTATCCAAATTTTATATGGCTGGATAGATCTTGAAATTATATTTCCAATGATATATTATAATATTAATTCCAAGCTATAACTAAAAATATATGAATGAAATATGAAACTCTATCCAAAACTGACAATGTCCCACTATTTTGGCCATATATTTTTATATACAACATATTTTAATCTGATTTTAATTGGGTTGGAAATTATACTTCAAGAGCTTTTCAACGACATATTATATGCCTTATTTGGACTTCTGGATCAAAAGATATGATAAAAACAAAATCCGCAAAAACTGCTGTCCATCGAGTTTTATTTCGATTCGAATTCAAATTCTTTTCTTATTCTTTGACCCTCTTTTTTCTCTATAAATAAAAGTCATATCTCCTCCTTTTCAAACAATCAACTCTCATCAAGAATTTTTTGATTTTATCTACCTCTTTCTAGCCTAGCCTTTTACAAACACAATTCCTCACACATTAGATCAAGA